AGAAGAACCATCCAGAGGACCTACTGATTTTTTCTTTTTGATTTTTTTCTACCTGGATTACTGAGATGCATCAGGAAATTGTTTCTTTACAGCTTTTTGTAAATCCATATTCGAACAGGATAAGCATTATCTGGGGATCCCATGTAATTAATAAATTACTCCCTGATGTCTGTTTTTCATGTGGCACATTCGCATGATGTCGTATGATGAAATGGACCTGAAATTAAATTATAGCACTGAAAGTCAAAGTAGTCAAACTGAATTTTTAAGACAACAAAATACAGTTTCAAAGCAAATTAATTCATCTTCAAAACTTTAAATTCATATTCAATTTACTGAAATTAATTTTTAAACCAATGCATTTCATAGAGATGTCCTGATCCGATATCAGTATTGGATATCGGTTCGATATTAGCCAAAAAAAGAATATCGGATTATATCAAACTGCATCAAAATCTTTGATATACAAACAGTCCATTTTATAGTCCGCTCAGGATTTCTATCCAGCAGCTTCTAGATCCAACATAAATAACTTAATAAATTCAATAAAAACAAAGTATACTTTTAAAGTGTAAAATAATATTTTAAGGTAATTTCTTAGGGTTATTATTGTACTATTGTTTATTGTTTCACCTGATCAAACCGTTTTAAGATTCCACACTACAAAAAAGTTATTAAGGTACGTAGGATTCGTCATAATATTGTATCAGGTTGATATTCAAGGCTGAAATATCGGTTAGGGGTTAGCGTTAGGGTTAGCGTTATCATATTGGAAGTGAGAAATCTGCATCGGGACACCCCGAACATTACATTTCACATTATGCAAATACAGATTCATTCTGAGCAATTCAAATTCTGTTTCTGCTGGCACAAGTTTCCTCCCGTACTCTTTAATCACTTCTGGACTTTTTGTGTGTAATAAAAAGACAAAAAGAGGTTTCCCCCTTGAATAAAGTCTAGAAATAGCAGCTCTGAGTTACTGTGTGACACATTGCTTTGTGCGCTGTCTCAGTTTCCAGTAACCAGATCCATTTTGTCGGGGGGTGCTGGTAAAGGGGTCAGAAATGTCCTGGTCATGCCTTGCAGCTATAAATGTGTGATTTTGTAAAGCGCAGTGGGTACAGGGGCAGCTGATCACCATGATCTGCCACGTTTTTCAGTTCCATCAGTAAGTAGTGTTGACTGCAGTGCTGTCCATTCCATTCCTCAACAGAACAAAGCCCACCTCTCCATGAAGGTCACTGCACAGAGTAAATTAATACACATCTTTATGTGTTCACATGTGACCACTTCACTGCAGCTGGGGGAAATGCCAAAAACAACACAACATCAAGCATCCACTAAGGGTTGGGCCGGCTGTGGCGGTGTGGTTAGGGGAGTCGTCCTGGAACCTGAAGGTCACTGGTTCGACCTCCCGTCCAGCCGTCTCAGTTGTTGTCTTTGGGCAAGACACCTCACCCACCTTGCCTACTGATGGTGGTCAGAGGGTCCGGTGGCGCCGATGCATGGCAGCCCCACCTCTGTCAGTGTGCCCCAGGGCAGCTGTGGCTACAGTGTAGTTTGCCATCATCAGTGTGTGAATGTGAGTGTGAATGGGTGAATGTCTGTTAGTGTGAAGCACTTTGGGGTCCGGAGGGACTCGAAAAGCGCTCTATAAGTTCAGTACCATTTACCATACTGGCAAAAAAAATTAATCATGATTAATTGTGGTATTTAGCCGATAACGATTAATTTGACAATTAATCCCCTGCAGTCCCTGGACACCTTTATGTCCTGGTCACATGACCAATTTAGTGGGAAATATTTGCTCTTTGTAAAAATCTGTTCCAAATTGTGTCAAAATTACAGACTTCAGGCTATACATCAAATTTTAAATTGTGTTGATAGATAAATTAAAGGCCCTGTGATGGACTGAGACCTGTCCAGGGTGTACCCCGCCCCTCACACTGTGACTGCTGGATATGGGCACCAGCGACCCACGCGACCCTGAAAAGGAAGAAGCGTGTACAGAAAATGGATGGATGGATGGATGGATGGATGGATGGATGGATGGATGGATGGATGGATGGATGAATAAATTACAGAACTTTATTTTTAATGTTCATCATATTTGAAGTGGAAAGGAGCACCAAGCAGACTGACCAGAGTAATCTCCTGTCAGTCTGACTGGTGGCATTAATCATATTAATCGTCAAGTACCAAAAACTAATCGATTAATGTTTTTCTGACCATTAATTGCACATGATACGATTATGCCCAACCCTGGTATCCGGTCCCTGCGCTGCACCCCGACCCCCCCTGCGTAACATTTAATTAAATGTGAATGTCAACATTAGCATCCTGACATGTCTGACGTTCAAACTAAAAGACACTGCATGTCCAAGATGATAACAAGGTGTTTCAAACATGCTGAAATCCTGAAATCTGACCCAAAGAGCCAAACTGTGATTTATACACTCACAATTTTAACACAGTCCGAGTCTTTCTGAATGACATCATCAGTGCATGTCTGAGTGCTCACCTGTCTCAGGTATGTAGGGCTCAGTCTTTATGTCCACTGGAGGAATGTAGTCATACGGCATCAAATTGAGCTGTAGCTGAAAAAGTAGAAGATTGTTAAACCAGTCAGAAGATCAATAATTATCGATCACTATTTGTTTAATGATCAGAACCTGAGGTTCTGTCAGGTAGAAGTGTTCATGTTCAGATGAAGAAAATGTTTCAGTCGGGACAAAACCCATCAGTAACAGAAACTATTTTATAAGATAGAAACTGAAATCTAATCAGTTTTTTTTTTCAATTTCTTAAAAAAAACTACAAGAGGGTCAGAGTTGTAAAGTAACTAACTACAAATACTTCTTTAACGTACTTAAGTTTAATTTTTGGGTATCTGCACTTTGTTTGAGTAATTATTTTTCTACTTCTTACATTAAAAAAACGTGTCACTTTTATTTCATTTTTTCTTGTTTTCATTGCAGCTTGTTGTTGTAAAAAATAAAAACTATCCATATAAACTGAGCCTCCTAGATAGAGTGAATTTAACTGTGGTTGAATGAGAAGTATAAATATATAAAACTCTGATAGTGTATTAGTTTGTACACAAACAAATCATGTCTTTGTGGTACTTTATACAACACTGGCTGTGGCAGCCATCTTGAATCAGGCTGATTCCAACAGTTAATGTAAATCCAAAGATAATGTGTGAAGTTAATAAAATACATTTAGTAATTTCTGAGGTATTTTGCGAACAAACATGGACACATAATAACAAGGTCACCCACTGGTTTGAAAAGCAGGAGATAGTGTGTGTGAGGTTTTCAAACTTTTAACTGTGAATGTTCCTGAAATGATAAATCTCAGGTTGTGTTACTGCAGCACTCAGCTGTGGGGTGTCGTTTGTAAAGTTACACTGTCAAAAATTACCACCAATATTTTTGTTATATTTAACCT